AAACAATTTTACGAACTTAATAAAAAATACGCGAGCGAAGTTCTTTGTGTTCCACGGTCTTTAATTCAGAAACTCTTAGTACCTTAAAACTTTACGCTGCGGAAAAAAGAACGTTAAACTTCGCGAGACATACGTGCCCGCTTTCTACCAATTTCGAGATACCTCGTGTGTTCGTAGACTTCACAGTTCCTCTCTGCAGTGGATTAAGCGTACGTTAAATAACGAGAGAAACAAACGAAAACGGAAAGAAAGCTCTTTCCCCCCTCCTCCTCCCAGTCTCCTTCTCCACTAATCGTGTTAATGCAAGTTCAATGCCGAGCGACGAGAGCGTTTAGCGCGCCGCGAAAGGAACTCAATCGCTTTGATTTTTCACTCCGAGAAATTACCGCTCGCTACCGGGAGCTTTCCCGTTCAGAAAGCGAGCGAGCGAGCGAGAGAGAGAGAGAGAGAAGTGGAAGTGCGAGAAACTCGATTAGCTGCGGTAATTCCGCTCCGTTTTATTCGACGCCGAATTGCTTTCGACGCCTTTAAGAGACCTTTATTCGAATTTATCTCGCGCTCATACCGAGCAATCGCGCTATCATCTCGCGCCAAACACATATATATACGGGGTGTCCCTTTCCAGGATAGCAAATTCTTTACTGAATTCGGAATCGAAGTTTCCTTAGCGAGAATGTGCTCGCTTGTAAGAGAACTGTTCCTTTTCCTTTTCGCCACAAAAGACGGTAATATTCGAATCCCTCCACCCTCATTCGTTTCCTATTATTTCTTCGCATTTCTTTTTATTTTCCTCGCTCCTTCCCTCTCGCCCTTTCTTCTTTAATCGTTTCTCCTCATTCCTCGTGTCTCTTCTTTTTCTTCTCAACTTCTCTCATTTTTTGGTGCATCTTCTCACATTGTTCGCTCTTTCTTCCACTCCCTCATTTTCTTTTTATTGCTTTTGACGCGTTTTCAAAGAGCCTTTATTTGAATTTATTTCGCGCTCATATAAGTAATCCATCGCGCGCAAAGAGCAACCCTTTCACGACGCCATTCCCCGCTGGGCGGTTCATGCATAATGTATTCGCGCCAGCGGATGCTGGCTTACGCCGCGGATAGAGCGGTATCATTGTTTGCGAATCATTGAATCGACCGAAAGCATTATCGTGTAGTGCGATACAATTGTGTATCGAGAGTTACGAAAAGTTTGGAAATGTACCGCATTAATCCCGCAACTAACCGCAGGAGCACTAAACGCTAACGATATGCGTAACTGAACGACCTTTCGAAAAAATATTTCACCGCGTTTGTGCTTGAAGCGAAAAATGCTGCTCCTGCGAAGAAATTTTGCGTAGCGCGGCTGCGCTTGTGGTAATTTAATTTTAAGGACGAGCTAAAATGTGCGTTGCGAAATAATTTTAAGGGCAAGTTAAAATGTGCGTTGCGAAATAATTGGGGAAATGCCGGGAAATTCAGCATTATCATACATATCCCTGGATGAATTTTAATGATGTACGCTATTTTCTAGAGTTGAGATCTTAAATGAAGTAATTTTCAGCCAGCGCCACGTAAGACCAGCCGGCTTACCAAACTTATTTGCAAGCTAAATCTTGTTTCTCTTATGCAGAAAGACAGAATTTCATTCGTCGCGCCTTGTGAATCGCTAATCAAGCGGTAGTTTCTGAATCCATTAGATTCGCCTGGGTAAGAATTTACGAAACTTCGTTCACGGAGTAGCGTTACTTTCGAAAAATGAAAGAGAAACACCGCAATTAATATTCCACATAGCTCGAGCGCTCTAACACAATTGCATCTATAAATTGTAACGTTCCGATTATATTTTGATGTGAATATATGCCGAAGATATCACGTGGAAAATTGCATCGTCTGAACGGAAGTGCTGCCCGCATAAGTTGCGCCGAACGAACAATAAGATAGCTCGTTAATGAATTTACGAACTTCGTTATGGCTGCTGATATTGTTTTGAACCGGTTCGATAGAGTGTATGAATTATCTATGCGCGGTAATGCGCGTGAAAATCCTTTAAGCAGCTTTAGATGGCCGGTTTGCCGCGGGATAACGCACCATCGACATAGAAAATCAACAAATTTCGCACCACGCTGTATTAACGCAAATATATCTATCCGGCTTTATCTCGCAAATCTAACGAATAATCTAGGTGTTCGTTCAATTCGCTGTTAAAGATACCATTTTGAAGGTGAAGTCAATTCTTTCGGAAACGTCGAGCGATCGAAGCGAATTCTTCATGGGAATTTCGAAAGAAATTGTAAAACTGGAAGCGGATACTTGGACACACCGACCTACGTAAAATGTTCCGTAAAATTTTTCTACCTCCCGGCAGGAACAAGTCTTTCTCGAGACGAGAGTCTCGATCAAGTAGCCACTCGATACGATTTTCAAACGTTTCTGCATCTCCCCGATGGCCGAGAGATAAATTAGCCAAAGTGTTGACGGGCCGAAGTACGATTCGATTGATTTTCGGCACCCTGTATATTTGGTTCGCCGAATAGAGAAGTAAGAAAATCTTCAGTTCCTTAAACGGCGGAATGCCCCTGTCCGGCAGAGGACGATAAATCAGCTCGAAAGTTTTTCCCGCGGCGGAAGTTCTCGCGGCGCGACGGCGGATCTCGTCTCGATTAATCAAAAAAGCGGCGCTTATCCGCGAGCCGCGAATTGCCATTAATATCATTCGGTCTGGTCGTCACACGACGTCAAAATACAGCGGTGACGCGCGATGCGCCAAGTAAGTGAGTTTGTTCGTTACGTGAAAAATGGCCGCCCTCGACCGACAACTTGAGGAAAGCGGAAATTTGGCCAAAGTACCACGAATTCCGAGATTAATCGATCAAAATGGGGTGTCCCGGTTTAGAGCGAGAGCCATCTCTCATCTAATTCTTCGGCCAGAATTAGAGAGCTTTCGCTTCCAAACTGTCTTAAATCCATATTCCTATATCATGTCGTTATGATTAAACTTTTATTCAATTAATATTATAACAATGTATAATTATAATAATATTATACATTATTACAACAGATTATCTATTATATATGTATATGCGCGAGTAATTTGTTACATTATCTATAAAGTATCCATAATTAAATTGTGATTATTAATATCCTCTTTTTGAAACAACGTGGAAACAAATTCTTTAAGCTGGTTTTTCCTCGGCAACAGTCTTCAAGAAATCTGTCGCACGTTTTCAGTCCGTGATAACCAGATATCCTTGTCCGCAAATTCCCAAATTACAATGTAAACAATTTCAGAGTTCACTTGAATTTCCATGAGAAATAGCGCATTCGCATTTCTGAAATCTACTTTCCGAGATTTATTTCCAATCGCTTATCGCGACTACAAAATTATTCTTTCGATATTCGTTCGACGAACCGTGGCGCGATAGGGGGAGATACTTTCACACCGCTTTTCTAATTTCCGTAATTCTGCCATCTTGTCTCGATCAGAGACCGTAATGCATGCATTGCGTCGTTCGATAGATCATTAAATCCTTTTACACCACATTAACCGGATACCATAAGAACGCTTAGCATATTTTCTACGCTCTGAAAGCTTATAACGCGTGACGCGACCTCGTTCCCGACGTTATTAATGGTTCTTTTCTTATGAAAAAAACATTTTGGAACACTGATACTCGTACAGTCGAACGAACTTGGAACCAATACTTCCTTGACAGAAATATCAAAAGAAGTCGTCTCTCGTGATTTATTACTGTCAACTTTCTTTTTGTATCGCGTAAAACTTTTGTCAAAGTAAAATTAATCAGAAAATCTTCTTCACCTTCGAGTTTTCGACGAGTTTCCTAAATCTACGCGTGTAAAATCTTCCAGTATACCTGGACGACATTTTCGATTTCAGAGAGAAGATAGCCGCGCTATCTTATCATTATACATACAGTCGCGAGACATTTTGATTCCATCCATATTCCTACCTATATATATATTCTTTCTCTCAAACCCCGCTCCAATTGTGAGCATCAGTCTCGGCGATCGGGCGAACGAATCTGCAAATTCAAACGCGAACTCGGTCAACGGGAGGACGGAATGGCACGCGATAGTTGGGGAAACTTTCGCCGAGTTTCCGAGTCACGGGATCGCGTTTGACAAGGAAGAAGAATCCGGAAAGATTCGTCCAAGTTTATCGCGCCTCCATGCGCGAAGGGGGCACACGCGCATTCCGATCTCGCGTATCGCGATCTCAGCCGAAATTTCGCAAACTCCGGCGTGGAAGACGATAAAGACCCGACACTATTGCTACGCGAGTGGAATTGAGAATTTCCTGATTTCTCACCAGCCGCGATCAATACCCACCTCCGCCTTCCCGGATCTTCGTTAAAGTTCAATTTAATAGATAGCTCGAAATATCGCATTCCGGACAAGTTGCAGCCCCGGCTCTTCTCGAAAATTATCCGAGGATTGCCGGTAAATAGCGACACTTTTTAAAGAGTCATTAAGAACTTTCCTAATGCCCTTTATTCTAACGTTTATTCTAACGGTCTCGTCAGAGTTTTTCTTAAATGAGCGATTCGATTAATGTGTACTTTCGCCGGCTACAGGTCGGTACTGTATGTTTAAAGCACTAAACTAGTGTAACGAGACATGCCAACGGTTCTCGTTTACCGGAGGCTAAAGAGAAACGCGTGCCGGGAGACCGACAATTACAATAGAAGCGGAAATCGCGCCTTGTTTCTCTCGGCGCATAGTTACACGTTCGTTAGTTCCATTCTCTTCCTCTCTCTCTCTTTCTCTCTTCTTTTCTCATTCTTTCTCTCCTTCGTTCTATTTTATTCTTCTGCTTTTTTTCCAATGCCAACCACTGTGATGAATTAGCCGGCGTCCTGTTAGCGCACTCGTCTACCGTTCATTCGTTATTTACAAGTCGAATAAGCCTTTTTATTACGCCACGCTGTATCTCGAGACATCTCTATGGATCTCATCGATCACATCGCGTTTCCCGTTACATCCATCTTGTTCTCGCCTGTTCTTACCTTGTCTCCAAACTTGTGCTCTCACAGCGCTGCGTCCTCCTCGGTATCTGCAATCACCCATCTAATCCCAGTCTTAGGGACCTTAGCGTCTGAACGTCTCCGAATCCTCCTTGAATCCGTAAAAATTGAACTGAACACGCGCACACATTCATCACCGGAATACAATCCAACGGTGCACTCTACGTCGCGCCGCTAATTTTAGCCTCACGTGATGCGCACTTCACTTACAATTAGACGTAAAAGTAAATTGCTAAGCAGCCATTGTCTCGATACTTTCACGACACACAAATGATGAAATTAGCCGAGTTCGCAGTCTGATAATCATTAATTTCAACGATCGCGGAGAATAACTGCGTCTAGCCTCTCGTAGTACTCGTCGCGATCGCGTCGCGAAAGATACTACGCGTTCGACGGAGCTGCTCGCTCGAGAGGTCACCTGGCTGTGGGGCGTAAGCACAAAACCAACGTGAGCGTTGCTCGCTTTCGTCTCGCCGCCGCAAAATAATTTTATATTCGCAAAATGAGCATACACCGGATGCGTTTCGTTCTTCGTGCTCCAAATTGATGAACGGGCTATTATCGTGCGTTTATTTGAATTCGTAACGATTATTTGAGAAATAAAATTTAACTGAACCGCGAGAAATTTATGTGAATTCATTTAGCTCCCCTATTAACTCTGTTCCTTGTCGAATATGCGTCAAATGGACAGCGTCTTGAAGATTGAAGAACATTTTCCGTATACGATCGTAATAAATCGAGGAAATATGCCGTAAGAAATAAAGCGATTTAGCCTCTTTTCATTATCCACGCGGAGAGAATTTTCTTTCAAAATTTATCCCGAACATCTTATAATCGTGGGACAACATGGCGTTTTGAAAAATTTTATGAGAGTCTCTTGAAATTTTATCATGCATTTCACTAGTAATTATACTAACAATAAGTATACAGAGTGTTATGTAATACCCGACTCACCTCTTATTTACGGATAGAGCGGGCTAGACTGAATCGAAAAGTCCTCTACCAGTTTGCAATTTTCGCAACAGTTGCCGAGTTATTAACTATTAAAAGTCGCTGTCTTGGCCCGGCCTATCCAATTCAAGCTCGCGGCGAGATGCGGCCGCCCCGCGATCGGCGTTGCTAGGCGCGCGAGGAATTGGACGGTAGGCCGGGCTAAGACAGCGATTTTTAATAATTAATAACTCGTTAACCATTGCGAAAATTGCAAAACGGTAGAGGACTTTTCGACTCGGTCTAGTACGCTCCATTCGCAAATAAGAGGTGAGACGGGTATTACATAACACCCTGTATATATTATAGTGAAATGTATACCAAAACATACACGTATGTTCGGAGTTGGATATGCGGAACGCGGATAGAAGAGAAGAAGGGAGAAACGGCGGGGCGGATTCGAGGGGTAAAAGAAATCATCACACGGGCTGTCACGTATCTGGACCGCGAGCGAAGATGGAAGGTGCGCGCGATGCGATACGAATGCGCCTCTATCCCATCGATCAGGAGCACCGACTCGCCTCCGTGCAGGAAACGCGTGAAATGGAGTGCGCGCGATAGTGCATAAAATACGAATATCATCCGCGTGCGACGACCCGCTACCGTCCCAGCCCCGCCGAGAATATTCGGGGCCGCATGGATATCAATCTACCGATATATTATCGGTGTATCGACATACCGGGACGTCGCCTCGAAATATCGACACGCTCATCTCGCTTTGTTGCGCAGCGCGCCGCGATATTGGCCGCGTTAACGTCGCCGGCGTTTCGCGTGTACGCCTTTCCTCGAGAGCGACACATTGTGTCGGGCATAATTCATCTCGCTCCAGTCGGTCCATCGATGGATTAGAAAACCGTGTCGTATCCAGGGAGGAAAGAGCGTATATACGACAGCTCGGATCGACCTTTCCCCATTCTCCCGAGGAAATGAGATATTTCCGTTTTAACGAAAAGCGCCGCATGCAGATAAATGCAACTCGATTGAATTGCATGCCGCTTATTAAAACAATTTGCAATTTTTACGATCGACTGAATGACACGGTGATGAGGTGCACTCATCTAAATTACGAATGCATTTCGATTTTCCTGTATTGAAATGATTAAATTACCGCAATGTTATCCGCGAGTTTGCTTTCCGCGTATCGACGAGAATTAATTTGTGACATGGAATACGCTATTAACAGTCGTTAATGTGAGTGAGGTGCAAATCCGTGGGAATAACTAATCGAAAAATATCACGCGGCCACTTCCATTAAAAAGATTGCAGATTTAATCCCCTCGAGCACACTGTAACGTATTGGATACGCGCACGCGTATCGGTGGTAATATTTCGAGAGTCGTAATATTTTCTATCTTCTGCGGCTGGGACTGATGGGACACCTCGGTATCGAGTGGCGAGGCCTTGTGCGTCAGTGCCAACGCTTGGCTCTGTGATCGCGGGAGAACATCAATTTTTCTTTTTAGAAATTTACATCGCACAATAAGTACGCGACTTCGGTACCAGCTGTTATCTTTCAAAGTCGAGCGCCCAGGGTTCACACCGGTGCTGATATCGACTACGTAGGACCGTCATCGTACGGACATATGTCGCACATTTATTTTGTCGGGGTGGAGAAGCGGTGGAAAATGATCCCGTCTATTCAAAAGAGGTCGAGAATGTAATATAGATAAATTCGATAAGCCCAACCGAGGGGGAAACCGCTGAGGGCATTGTGGTGTACAGATTTGCGGCATTACTAGGCATTTTTGGGGCACTAGGCCTTGCTAGGGCATTATAAAGATAAAATAAGATAATAAAATTAAGTAATGCCCACTGGGCATTAGTGGGCATCGGTGTACAAGATTTTGGTCAGCAGTTTCCCCCTCGAGCTCCACGTTATAGAATCTGAGATGATATCTCTTCCAGACTAGAGATGATAAAAGTCATTTTGGGAAGAGCCCACGTCAAACGCAGCGTTTTGAAATTTCGAAGAATGGATATCTCGAAAAATACGTCTAGGTACGTACGAACGTTATGTCACATGTTTTCCGCGATATCCTTTATAGGCTGCGCACGTCACTCTCGTTCGTCGCATTTTCGCGTTGCAGATACCCGGCTCGTGGTTCCGTTTGCCGACTTTTTGCAGCGAGTTGCAACGGAGGGGCAATAGTCAGACACGCCGTAGCACGCGAAACGTTATTACGTCCGACACTTTATTCGCTCTATCGCTGCTGCCACAGACGAGGGCATTCCGCTGAATTCCGCGAGTGCCGCGAGCGCCCGCGCGACGTAATTTACCGCGGCTATGTAAGAGTACCGTGTTGGCGCGCGTGTGTGCGCCCGCATTTGTATTTCCATCGATCGTACGTCGAGATAATTACAATGCGGCACGTGTGACCGTCGCGTCCTTCCACTTTGATAAGAAGTGTTTCGCGGATTGCAATCCGGACACGACCCGGCTTACAATAGCACCGTCCAAAAAGGACGCCACCGTGCAAATTAGATTCAGCTTCGCTGCTGGTTAATCCCCCTGGACATATTTAACCCTCAGATACTCGAGCGTTTCAAATTAACGTAAAACATTGTGTGTACGCGAAGGACGGTTCCGTTGCTTTAATCAATTAATAATGAGGAAAGAAACTGTACGATTCACGTGGTATTACTATCAAATTAATGCACACGTGTACACAAAACAATTTGGCGATCACTCTGCTATAATATAACCAGTATACGTTGAGGGGGAAACCCGAGGAGGAAATTGGTATTGTGGTGTACAGATTTGCGGCATTACTGGGCATTAGTTTGGGCATTAGGCCTTGCTGAGACATTATACAGATAAAATAAGATAAAACAAGATAAATGAGATAAAGTAATGCCCACTGGGCATTAGTGGGCATTGGTGTACAAGATTTTGGTCAGCGGTTTCCCCGTCGGTAGGCATTTTCTAAGCTTTTGATTATGAAGTACGAACACAGCCTATCTACACGTATAACTTGCTTCGGGCAGAAAATGGTGAACAGTAAGGATGCACTTTTTTACAGGCTCAAAACTTTTCAACCCACCCTCGTACGTACTTCATACTTTTGACATTCGATAAATGTGTTCACAGACGTAAATATAACGTTCCAACTTTACGACACTCGCCCCTTTTCGCGCAGGATTGTTTAAAAGGCTAATCCTCCAACTGTTGTTAGAGGAACGCAGATATGAGATTGGTGTACAAATTTTGTCAGCGCCAGACTCGTCGCGTTTCCAAAGCCAAATTACCAAAAGCAATGTACGTTTCTTCGTACGCCGTGCCCTCGTCTATTTGTCTGGTATGCGTCTGGTATGCGTTGGACGCACACATGTGAATACACGGTGGTCTGTCTCTCGCCGCATACAAGTATCCATGCAACTCGCGCGCGTCCAACAAGTCTTGCTCAAAGGGAACGTAACAGTACGTATCGTGTGCGCCTGAAACACGTCGCGGCAATCTCGTTACCCGGCTAAAGACGTCTCTACCCCTCGGCAACATTCGAAGACGCCCGGACCGAAAGCAATTTCGCTTAAACCTCTCTCGACGCGTCGTTCGAGGCGCTGTTCTTCCTCCTTTTCCCTTCGCCGAAACCTTCCCACTTCCGGAAGACCGTTCCCGCGTGCCAAAATAGCGCCCGGTATTCGCTGAGGGCACCTAAGGACGCTGGATGATAAGAAAATTCAATTGCGTTGCAATGTCGCACGTCAATGGCGTTAAAAAGGGGTCTGTTCTTCCCTCTTTCGCCCTAGCCAAAAAATCCCAAAAAACTCTAGCGAGGTTGTTGCACACGGAATATTGCGTACTAAAAAGTTTCAGTTTCGTCTGGTACGCCGATAAAGTCAACGTTTTCCGATTATCGAGTGTTGTGTATCACGTTAAAGCGATATGTTTAATTTGCATTTTATCCCTCGAGTGAAATGTTTGCGATTTCCCGAGTTTACGCTAAAATTTTCAAACTGCCGAAAACTAGAAACTCGTTTTTTTTCCCTCGCGCGATATTATTCAACGGCTCTCAAAGTTTTCGGGTAAATTGCTATTAAGTGCAATTGCAAGCTTTATAAGTTAGATAAGCGTTTGTAGGCTATAGCATCGTGAACTGAGACAAAGTTTGGCGTACTAATAATCGAATTAGTAATCCTTTAATTCGCTTTTAACGAAGACAAATTTTCTCTCGTGTAGACGCCTCCGTGCGGAATCTTCTTGCTCTTATAATCAACGTAGATCGAACGGGATTAAAAAGCGATTACGCGATAACGAGCAGTTTAACATCAATGTACTCTTAATGATCCTGTAATACGATCGAGTCTTGACATCAATGGAGTGTGACATGCCCGCGCGTGTTAAACACTTACTCACAAAGACGTTCGAAACTCCATTCATCAAGCAAAATTCATTTAAAGATCAATTTGAAAAGAAAACAACGGAGCGATTCGCAAGTTGAAATTAACATTACTAAAATTCAGATCCATATCTGTCGATCATAATTATTTTTAAAAAATGACTATTTTTATCTGATCATTTACAATTTTAGTATTTGATTTAAAAACTCGGATTTTTAAATCACTTTTACTTACTGAGAAAAAAACAATCGGGCTTTGTTCTATTATTCTATTCGCGGATTTCGCTACGATGTACTTCATTTTGCTCATTTTGCAAAAACAAAAATGAAAATTTTATTAAAAGTCTGTAAAATATCAGTTTAGCATCGTTAAAAACAGTTCCGTAGAGCAATATCGGCAGGAATGAAACGCACGACAAAAGTCAGCCTACGAAACGTGGAAATTGTTGCGCGCTATCATTACGAGATAATACCTTAAGCGCTTAATCATAGTAACCAGCATTTGCAACATTACACGCACGTTAATAAGATGACCTCGAGCACACATTTATATCCGCATGGGCAGGGTAATTAACGCGATAGCAATGTCGAAATGCCGACGGTTACTGCATGGTGCATTTAATTCGCGCGCTAAACCGGCTGGAACGGAGCTTTATCCACTTTGCGGAGACGATGAAAATTACATTGGACTACGCATAGAAAGAAAAGGTATTACTCGGATAAGCGAAACGCAACCGTCACCTTCGAACTTAAATAAACGGGCATGCGTCGCAATTACATGTAAATTCCACCTTTGATGCAGCTGCAGCGATAATTATTCCAGTTGGATATCATACAAAAATATTTCGTGTAATAAAACTCTGTTGAGTTACACACTCTCGGCTATTTATGATTAATATTCCAACGTTGCATCATAAATAATAAAAAAAAGTAAAAATATGCAATAATGAAATACTTTACAGCAAAAAAAAAGTACCATGCATTATGCATTTCGTTTAGCAAAATACAGGATGGAGTTGTATCAACTGCATACTTTATCGAGGGGTTTCGTGCTTGTTTCGTCGTGTCATCGTTAAGGAGATGCTGGAGTGATTCTGCACTTTTGGCACCTTTTGCTCTTAGAACTATCAATTCGTGAAAACATTCGTGTAATATACAAGTTATGTCGCTTTTGTGTACAGTCCGGCAGTGTCCCACTATTCAGATTAAGTGAAAGAACAGCATGGTATCATTGAAATTAAGTTTAGGAGCTTAACAAGAAGTCTATTCACTCGAATAAGTGATAGGTTACCTAAACCTATAACTTATTTGAGTGAATAGATTCATACCATGCTGTTCTCCGATTGAGTCCGAATAGTGGAACACTGTCGATTCGCACAGAAAAGCCACACAATTTGTACATTACACAAATGTTTTCACGAATTGACAGTTCTAGAAGCAAAAGGCGCCAAAAGTACAGAATCACTTGGCATCCCCTTAATCGAGAAGCTGGCTCTCGATTCTGTTTTTCCTTTTTCGACATAATCTCACCTTTGGGAATGCGAACTATCGACGGACGAGATTTCACAGGATTTTAATTACGGGCAAAGAAATCGATTTCTAATTCCCGCCCCGGTGGTGCGCCATACGCAATTCCCGCAGGCTTGCGAAGGGCAAAAAGGGAATTTGCCCTGTAATCGGCCGATTCCACTCCTAAGTGGAATGTTTTGAAATTTTCCACCGACGACGACACGGAGGGAAAAAGCGTAGTTGGGGAAGAAGAAGGGGGGAAAAACCATGCGCGGATGTGGGTATGCGTGCTTTTTTTACGCCCATTTTTGTCGCGGCAAAAAAGGGGCGCCGTAATGCTCTGGCTGTGTCATTTTTTCCGGCAAACCGGCGGCGGTTCTCGGCCCGCGTTTCACATGAAATATTTTCAAATAGAAAGAGCGCAATTAAAAATTGGCGCGCGCGCGCGCACAGACAATATTTGATAGCATTACAAACGCGCGACATCGCGAAATTATCGCGCGGGGTCGTTGTGGGAATATAGAACTGAAAATTTCGTGGCCGCAATTGTGAAACTCACCCTCGAGCTCCCTCGTTGGACGCACGGCTTCCACTGGGTCGTTTAATCTTAGGACAGAATATGTTCCTCGCCACGGGTGATCAACGACGCTTTAATAGTCACCTGTGACATAACAAATACAACTCTCATTCTCTCGGCTCCCGAGACCCTTTTCATCTCTCTCACTTGTATTAATCATATAATATTCAGTGGAATATTGCCCATTGGGAAACGACTTGTCCTATTTTATTAATACCGATACCGCTTTTGTATCGATGTCTGCAGTGTTTATGGGTTTATTGATTTTCATTTATTTCTTATCGTGTTAAAAGAAGACGACAGACTGGACACCCGGTGACTGAATGATGCCAATCATCTCCGAATTGTCAGTTCCGTTTTAAAATTATTTATTCTCACGAGTGTGCACCATGTGCTAGTAAAAATAATGGAGGGAAGCCCCTTGTTATGAGGTAGGCTCCCAATACGAGATAGCGGAGTTTCTGCTAAATAGGCATCATCTGTTTGTTCCACCATGAATTCATTGCCCTTGGAGTGAAATCTGTTTAGTGGAAAATTGTTGGATCGTGTAATCGTTGCGAAAAAGATTTGCGATTGAATTTGGACGTTGAAAACCTAAATCTCGTATTAGAATCTTATCTCACAATAGAGAGCTTTCCTCTGTATTTCCTCCGCGGTGCCTAATTCACTTCTGGCTACTCGTTAGAAGATAACGGCTATTTAATTTCAGCAACTTCCCGATTGTCACCCTGCGTCTTTGCCGGACGACCGTCTGACTTGCCAAGCGTCGGAAATTTTCGTGGTTCAGTCGGGTCTTTCGACAATACGTAAACTAATCGGCAAATTAGCGATACGACTCTCCGCCGCTGCGAAGGGTGCGCGAGATAGGGCGCCGGGTTATGCGACGGCCATACGACAGTAATGGCGCTTGCAGCTGACGACGTTAATAGAAGGATTTCGGGGGTGAGCCCGCTCCCTCCGCCCATTGGACTAATTAACCTCGTTATATCGCCGGTCCAACCAACAGGACACTACTCCTGTTCCCTATGTAACGATCGTCGTACCTCCTGTACGAACCAACCCGACGCGAGACATCTCCCCGTCGAGAGAGTTTAATTAATCTAATGACGGTCTCCGTAACATCCTTGAGTGACCGATGTAACCCGATGTGACGTAGAAACACGAGGATATACCGGGCGTTTCCAGCCCGCCCGTGGGCTGGACTTTTTATCAACGAAAGATGTCGCGGCAGTCATTGTTCATAAAATTAACGGACAAAAAATTTCGACGAATGTCCTCGGCAGATTTGCTGAATGCTCTGGGGAAAAAAAGACAGCAACCCATTTTGGGCCCACAATTAGTAATCGAACTATTATGACTGTTGGTAACTCTGGGAAAAATTCTGACCATTTTTTTAGTTAAGCAACTTAACATTTCGGTTAGTGCCTCTTAAGTGAAAATTATCTTTGCGTTACGAACAATCCAGATAATTCGATTACTAATTGTGGGCCCCAAAATGGGTTGCTGTCTTTTCTTTTCCCAGAGCGGAGACAGTTTCCAGATCACTCGAGAAATCTGTCGTTTAAAACTAATGCGGCCAAACTGGATCGTTGTTTACTGTGACCAAGTCGTAAGTTTGAAATCATACATTTTCATGCGATAGTATTGCAAACGTTCTCGTTGAATTCTAAATAGATATAAAATATCGGGGCATCGAGATGCAAATAGTATTTCGCTAAAAGTCCAGCCTAGAGAAACCAGATGTTACATAGATCGATGGTAACTTCAGTTTTAGCAACTGTCGCGCATTTGTTACTGTTCCAACACTGAGTCCCATACTGGATGTCACAACTTGACGATCGATGGATTCGATCGAAATACGAAAGGCCGCAGCTAGCGACAAGCACGACGACCGCCGTCACAAATCGAATTTAGCATTCGAGGCAGCGTTGCGGACGTTCTGAAAATCCGCGAAAAGCCACAATTTTATTTCCGCCGAGCGAAGCGAGATTCATATTTCAAAACCATCCGATCTATCACGTTTTTTTTATATCAAAATGATCAAGTACCTAATATATCACGAGCACTGACAAAAGTATTAACGTGTACAGATATTGACAAAAAACGACGTTCCTACAACATTAAAAAATTAAAAAACAGAAAACGCATGATAAAATTCTGCCGTACGAAGCTTCGTTTTCGAGAGAGAAAGAAATGATCGGTATCGGTCGATACCGATCTTCTTTTTTTTTTCGATATAGACGGAAGCCCACGTGGTTCAAAGTAATGAAGCCCCACCGGTGCGTTGCTCCGATGGGAGACATTAACCGGAAGTAACTCCGCCTCCATCAGGTGCCTCGTCATACTGTTCATTACTTATCGATCCGACCGACGAAATTGAATTTAACGGGAGAGGGCGGCAAGGAAAAAAGGGGTCGACGACGGAGTATCGGGAGAAAAAAAAAGAGAGACAGACAGAAGGCGGGCAGGACGAGAGGGCACGTTTCGAACCGTGCGCCAAGAGCAGATAGTGGAGGATGCGATGCGGGGAGAGACCGGTCGAAATAACCGAGACGAGAATCGAGGAGCGAGTCGCTCCAGGAATTTATCGCGTTAGTACTGCGAGCGAGCGAAGCTCCAACACTCTCGACACCGGGGATTCCAATTAGCCACTTTAGCCATTTCGCAAGATCGAATTCTATCGATTCTCCTCTCGTTCGTCCCCTCATTCCCCCTCGCACCCTTATCTCGCGCGTCGTCGCGCCGATCACGCAACAGCATCGGCGATGTTGAAGTACTTCGAAGTACTCCGAACACCCGATTATATCGAGCATTAAATGCTTACTAATTCGATATATTCGATATTGTAATATAATAGAAGCTTCATCATTTCCATTATCTGAATGTTCTACCGTTCGAGCACAATGTTCGATGCGTAAAACGTCGCTTCTCTCACCGAGTCACAGAAATATCCTCAAGACGCGAAAGGTGCCTCTTGACTTCCGAACGTTAAACGAAAGACTTTAAAGTATGACAGAAAATTAACGTAATTTCGGTTAGAGCTGCGCTAACGGATCTTTACATAATTTAGCAGACGCGAGAGGTCCACGAACGTGTGAACAAATGGTCAGTTTGGCGTAAATCGTTCTGTTCCTTTGAAATAAATAAAGTTAAGCGTCGGGAAAGCAATTGCTCTCGGAGCGACAAATCGGAATCGAAACGGCGAGACAATTTAGGTAATTTTATCGAATCCGTTTTCTCCCCGTGTTAGCGGCGTTAGAAAAGCGAGCTAGACCGTGTCGTCGTCGCACCCGAACTCATCGTATTGACTTGTTCCGCGAGCATAGAATTCCGGTGGATGGAATTCTCTCGACGGCGCGATTTCCGCCCGTATAACCGAGTGCAATCGTTAGACGTGCGCGCACATTCACGTAAAATAATAACGAAGAGGCGCGAGCCGCGTTTTGCACGTGTTTGCAATTCCTTTCTTCTCTTTCGCTTCTTCTACTCCCAACGACTCCTTTTTCCGACGGTATTTCGCTTTTACATTCTCGTGCAATAACGAGGCGTTGCTGCATTTCATGTTCGCACCTCTCTCTTTCTCTCTCTCTCTCTTAGCTACTTACTCTCTCTACACAATGTTTCTTTTCCGCGTCCATCGTCGACTTCCTTAACTTTGCCTTGTGGAGAATGCTCACTGCTGTTTCGCGTCTTGCGTTTCGCTCCGCGAAACGAACTCGCCGTCGTCGTCGGCGAAAAAAAATCCATCTTCACCGTGACGCGAAAGAAACCAGCGACACCGAGTAATTCTTCATCGCGGAATACCGTGGAGCGCATAGGACACAACGTCGACGAGACGGAAAGGGAGACGTAACACGGATGAAATTGCGGGTCGCGCGACGATATTGAATGTTTCATATTTCAAACATATCCTTTTCCAGAGCATTTCAAAATTTATATTTCGCATTCAAGCCACGTTTTTCCAAGTATCCCGTGATTTGCACCCGCCACGCGAAATATGTTTTCACGATATTTTCTCGCATCGGTCTGTAAATAACATCTACTAGTATTATACAGGGTGTTACGTAATACCCGACTCACCTCTTATTTTCGGATAGAGCGGACTAGACTGAGTCGAAAAGTCCTCTATCATTTTACAATTTTCGCAATAGTTAACGAGTTATTAATTATTAAAAATCGTTGTCTTAGCCCGGCCTACCGCCCAATTAAAGTTCGCGGTGAACTGCGGCCGGTCCCGCGATTGGCGTTGCTAGGCGCGCGGGGAGTTGTTTGTGACACACGGCAACGGCTAAGACAGCGATTTTTAATCATTAATAACTCGTTAACTATTGCGAAACTTGCCAAATGGTACAGGACTTTTCGACTCAGTCTAGTTCGCTCTATCCAAAAATAAGAGGTGAGGGTATTCCGTAACACCCTGTATAACAATCAGAATGACGAATTCCGCATACGCACAAATATATATATTTTTTTTTACTTAATCATCTGATGGATGCAATTTATAAAAGGCAAATCACCGGCGGACAATTTCCTTTTAACGAGAGACGATACGTACACATCGTGCATAATTCGATTACGCCAAGTGTCCCACAGTTTGGTAGCCGCGGTATCGGATGAAATTGCGGCGCGCGTGCGATTGTACGGACGTAAACTGCGTTTGTTGACGGATGTATTTAGCGCGAGGCCCGAGTGGGCGGCGGGAGGAGGAGAAGAGTGCCGCACGCACATTGTGTCGCGCGCATACCGCGTCGCCGTTCATCGTTTCATTCGGGCTCGTTAACCATCGTTAGCGCTCCCGTCCGTTCCCTTGTCGACCGAAACCAGCGCGCGGCACGCCGCAAAAACCGCGTAACGCGCGCGACAAAACTGCCCCGGACGGAAAGCCGCAGCCTTACCGGCAACCACGGCGGTCGCGTCTTTCGTCTAACGCTCGTAACGGTAATTTGCGCTTAACGCAGGTATTCGAGAACGTCGGCCTGTTCTTCGTTCGCCACGTCCTTCGCAGATAGAAGGCAGAGAGGATCGCTGCGTTTGGCGACGAGAAAGATAGTCTAAGGTGTACGGTATTGGGGATGGGATCGAAC